ACAGTCTGACTCTCGGCTAAAATCTGGCACTCATCAGAGACAGTCTGACTCCTGGCTAAAATCTGGCACTCATCAGAGACAGTCTGACTCCTGGCTGAAATCTGGCTCTCATCAGAGACAGTCTGACTCCTGGCTAAAATCTGGTACTCACCTAATACATTTAGACTGCCCACTGATATCTAGAATTCGTCATAGATACTCAGATTCAGACTGCTGGCTGATATCTGGCACTCATCAGAGACAGTCAGACTGCCCGCTGATATCTAGAATTCAACATAGATGGTCAGGCTGCTGGCTCAAATCTGGCATTTATCAGTGCTCCTGCACACCAGTCAGCTGTTCCACTTAACAATAGGTTATCTGCCCTCAGCAGTGTGACTACCAAAGCAGAAAAAGTGTTTGTAACAGGAGATTCAATAGTTAGAAACGTTAGAGTTTGTAACAATCATAAAGCAGCGGATTGTGTAAAATGCCTCTCCGGGGCCAGAGTTTCGAACATTGAGGGGAAATTGGACTCACTCTCCAGCAATGAAGTCTCCACCTTTGTTGTTCATGCTGGAACTAATGACATAAAGTCCCAACAATCTGAGGAACTTCATTTCTATGTGTGCACATGCAAAAACAAAATGTCGGAATCTAATTGTCTCTGGTCCCTTACCAAATCTCTGTAGAGGGGATGTTACTCTCCCTAAACTGCTGGTTAGAGACTTGGTCTTAATTCAAAACATAGCCTTTATTAATAAATGGGACTTATTTGGGTACAGCCTGGCTTCTAAAGACGGGACAGTCTCCATCCTAATGGGAGGGGATCATTTGGATGGCAAAAAGCACCATCCAGGCCTCGGCTGTTTATTTTCCCACTGTTTACTCATGTCTGGCTCTGAACCAGGTGCTCTATAGCTTGGCATCCCCTAATTCTAACAATTACTTAGAAACAGAGTTGAATGAGCTAGAAAGAAGTAACTATTACTAATAATGACTATTACTAGACTGTTAAGATTAAATGACTCGGCATAAACCCAACATAAAATGCTCATTAGAGAATATTTGCTCTCTAAGAAACAAATCACTTCTTGTCAATGACATGGTGCTTGACACTGGTGTAGACCTGTGCTTCATCAGAGATTCCTGGCTGAGACCCGCAGACGCTGTTCCTCTGGTTGAAGCCTCACCTGACGGGTTTAGTTTCGTGCAGAAACCGTGGGGCTCTGGGCGTGGAGGCGGCCTGGCAGCTATTTCAAACTCGCTGTTAAAAATCAGTCCCAAAATCATAAGAGATTTTACAGCATTTGAAGTTATGCTACTTCAAATGGCATTTAATCCGCCCATCCACATTCTTACACTATACGAACCACCTGGACCATTCACAATGTTCCTAACTGAATTAATTTATATTTATATTATTTAATATTATAATACTTGGAAAATTCAATACATTTGTGGACATAGAGACTGATGCCTTCAGCAAAAGTTTCCTGTCCCTCCTGGACTCTCTTGAGTGTCGCTGGCAGGTAATGGGACTAATGCTGTGCATTTGTTGTGCATATTGCAGGTTTTCCGTTGTCAAAACACTATGGCTGGTGGCCGGCCAGGTTATTTTAGTCAGCACTGACAAAACACTGCCGCTCACATTTTTCCTAGTGTTTCTGAAATCTCTGTTGATTAGTACTGTATAGATTTCTAAATTTTACTGTGGTCTTTCATTTTGGATTTTGCTGGGTTACCCTTACTGGACAGGTTGCTTTTGACTGACTTGCTTTCCTTGCCCTGATGTTTTGAACCTGCCTGAGTTAACAATGGCAACTGATGCTGACAATGAGACTGTACTCATGCTTCTGGACCTTAGTGCGGCCTTTGACGTGGTTGATCATTCTACTCTAGACTTCAATTTGATATTGGGTTGTGATTGGCTGAAGAGTCCTCACACCTGGGTTTAAATAGCTGACCTGAAGGTTATCCCAAAAACCTGCACACACACTGCATGGCCATTTGAGGACAAGACTGCCCACCCCTGGTCTAGCACCTGCCTACTTAACAGAAATAATTCAAGCTTACATTCAGATCCCAGAATGCAGACTTCCTTGTCAGCCACTTGACCTTGGACTCCCACAGTGTTTTTATTTTTCTCCCTTTTTTGGAGTTTTTGCTTCCTCTCTTCCATTATTATCTGGCTTTTTAAATTTTATTTCTGTCTTCCCTTTTCCTTGTTTTTGAATTATTCTGTACACATTCATGTAAAGTACCTTGGGCCGACTATTGTGAAAGGCGCTATATAAAAATAAATCGAATCGGAGATGTTCAGACTGCCGGCTGATAACTGCCATTCATCAGAGATGGTTAGACTGCCGACGGGAATTCTGGCAGTCATCGGAGTCTGCAAGACTGCCGGCTGATATCTGGCATGCATCTGATATGGTCAGTCTGCCGACTGATAACTGGCAGTCATCAGAGGTGGTCAGACTCACGGCTGAAATCTGGCACTCAACGGAGTCTGTAAGACTGCCGGCTGAGATCTGGCAGTCATCAGCGATGAGCAGACTCACGGCTGAAATCTAGCACTCATCAAAGATGATCAGACTGCTGGCTGAAATTCTGGCACACATAAGATACGGTCGAATTTTTGGCTGCAATCTGGCACTCATCAGACATGGCCAGAGATGTCTACTCATCTTCAAGAATGTCAGAAGTGTTTGATGCAGCCCTAAGCTTTGCAAGTTAGTAAAAATCTGAAGCTAAACTACATTTGCATTTATGTGAATAAGATGAATTACATTGAAGTGAATGAGCTGATATTGTCTGTCTTCTCAAGATTGAACGGGAATTTTTGGCATTCTTACTGTTTTCCTTTTTTATTTAGTGAAAACTCAGGACTGAGTAGTTTTGTTTTCCAAAATCTTGGTCCTTTGCAAATCAGAGAGTCAATTCAGCTCATTTATTCAGGGTTTTCTTGAGATCTTCAGGGCTATAGGAGTTAATGTGAAGTTTTCACACCTGAGGGCCAACACTCAGGCTAATGCCTAATGACAGTCAGGTGGTTCACTAAAACCCGGGTCTTTTGCAGCTTATTATCTGAATTGCTCATAAATGGTTTTTATATTCTGTTTGAAGAGTTGCACATCGTAGGTCTAGGGGAGAATCCTATGGCCCTTACCGGCAGCTCTTAAGGGTTTTTATTTTATTAGGTATTTGGGGAGAATGGGAAGAGTAGTGAGCCAACAGATGCATCTAGCTCACACCTCGACACCCCATATCCTTGGGGACCATTTCACAGTGTTCTGTAAGGACTGCAGAGGCAACCCAGAAGGCACCAAATCAAAGCTTGAGCGACGGCAACAGACCTTCAAACAGCTCTGTTTTTAACTTTACAATAATGTGAACATTATTATGTGATCATGAACATAAATTTATTCTGTTCTTTCTTTTCTCTTTCTTTGGGACATCCTTCCCTATGTAGTTAGTCCACTGAATGTATCTGACTTTCCCAAGACATTCTACTAAATTAGCTTCAAGCACAAGCCCAGCGCCCTGATGTCAGTAACAGTATCTCCAAGCCGGACTGGTCTCCCTGCTCAGACCATGTACAGATATTTATCTTCGTATTATACACACTTAGAGTCATACTGAAGGAGCTTCCAGTTTTTTTTTTAACTCCTCTGGAAATCAACTGTAAAGCTATTTATGTGAAATTGCACAATATGGAGCAGCATTTGACTGACTGACAGACCATCACTGAGCAGCCTTGGCCTCTTCTTCTCCAGCTGGCAAAGCGGACAAGAGCTGGAAGCCCCATCTCTGCCACAACTTGGAGGTGTGCTGAACAGCTGGTCTAACCCTGGCTGCCTGGACACTGCCCCAGCCTTAACTGGCATTGCCAGGATGCCAGCTGATTCATTCTCTGGGCCCTGTCACAGTGATGTCTTCATTGCTAACCACAGCAGACGCCAGCTCCTGGCAGCTACTGGAGGTGACAACAAATCCAATTATCTCCCCTCCACGGTGCCCAGGCAGGCAAACCAGTATGACAGGGACAGAGGCTGCCGTTCTCCCCCCAGTGTGCAGTGTCCTTTGTGACCTGGTACTCCAGCTGGAAGGACAGACATGGAGGGGACCCTAAGGTCTACTGCACAGGGGAAAGGAGCCTGTTCACTAAAAAAACAGCCCAATATTTTGAGGAAGTAAAACCGAAAGCTGCACCTACTGCTCAGATTGTAAAAGCTCAGCGTATTCATGATGAGGCCTGGAACATTTTAATTCCACCCTACGTACTCAGCTCCATTAACATGCATACATATCCTCCACCAGTATGACTATGAATCGTAGCTCAGAGAGCAGTAGGAAGTGATGCTGTTAATGTGAAAGCAAGAGCCATCAAATGTGAGACTTCAAGGAGCCTGCAGGAGTGAGCACTGCCGTGTCATGCCCCCATGTGAGCTGGAAGCAAACATCCCGATCATGGTGGCCTGCTCACCACAGGCCCTTTGCGGCTAACCCCTGGTGACTGCACCCTGAGCTCCAGCTCTGTGCTACGCGGCACTCAGAGGGGCTAATTAATGCCTCGATATGGAAATGAGTGTCACAGTAAATTACACAGCTAGCAAGCAGGGCCATTTCCTTTGAACATGTCAAGAAGTTGTACTTGATATGCAAATAGAAATGTACATGAAGACCATGAATACAGAAGGAGTGCATGATGACCATGTTTATAGGAAGCCAGCATGAAGACGACATCTACGGAAAGATCACACAAGCGGGTCCACAGAAGGAGTACACAAGGACTATGTCTATAACAAGGCGGAGTGAAGACCACGTCTACAGAAAGACCACACAAAAACTGGGTCTGCAGAATAAGCGCACAATGACTGGGTCCACAGGAAGACCGAAGGAAGACGTTCATCTACAGAAAGGCCACACAACCGGGTCAACAGAACAAGCAGGATCATAAAATGACTGTGTCTATTGGAAAATGGAATGAAGACGTTCATCTACAGAAAAATCACACCATGACTAAAAAAGGTCAATATCCTCAAAAATGTGTCTATGCATGGAGATCCTATTAGCTGCTAAAGATGACAGCATTCCTAGGAGCAAAATGACCTTTTATCCTAGTTAACCCCCCTGCCCCCCTCACACACACACACACACTGTTTATTCCAACTTCATGTGTAGTTAGAATCCTGCCCCAGAAACCCTGTTGCTTTTAAAACACTGCATACATAGCATTTGGTTTTACAGAAATATGTGTTTCTATACTATTTATAGCTGAGATGGATGTTTTCATTAACACACAGATATTTAACCTTGTGTGTAGAATGTTTGGCAGTGATGTTTGATATGTTGTTCATTAGTCTGGTTGACAGATGTATCCGGGGAGAAATGCTTCCGTTCCATGGTGGCCTTCCAGCTATGCCTACATCAATATTTCAAATGAGTAAATAATTGATCGTCACACCAAACTGGGTGATGATCAAATGGAGAAGCTCGGAGATGGATGTAAAAATGTAAGATGTAAACAAAGATACTATAAGCGAGCATTATTTTACCTGGAAATAGTGCTTATTAGCGATTTATCTCTGCCAAAAACATTTATGATTGTTTGTAATTAATGTGAATTTATGCTATATTATGATATAAAGTCATCAGGAAATCAAGCACTGGTAAAATATTAGTGACATGATCTATCACACCTGAATGAGATTTATGAGACCAACAAACTCTTTATCCTGCATTAGTTACCCCAGTAGTTACTCCCTTGCGATTCAGGGAGGAAGCTAAAGCCCTTTGACTCATTCTGACACAAAAAAATTAAACATGATTTGTGCATAAAAAGATGATACCTAGTAATTAGTAGCAAGCAGAGTTAATCAACCTGAATATCAGCCAGATATACAGCTTTTTTGTTCTTAGAGATTTTGAGATTCACTTAGAACATGCAACACAAAGATAATATACAATACATCAACGTCTTACTGTATAGCAGCATACAATTAACAATGTTAATATGTATATGTAATACAGTTTTTTGCAAAGGACTGAACACTAAATGCATGACACAACACATATGTACACTTATGTAATGGTGATTTTATCTGTCTTTAACTTGTGTGATACAGTACCAGACTCTTAATGCTCAGAGACAGGATGATGGTAGCAACCAGCAGATATACACAGCAGCTGCTGTTTATCCCGTCGTGGCGTTTAATTGGATACGACTGAAAATGACTAACTAGAGGTGGGAGAGCAACATAAGTTTGCCAGCTAACATGGACCCTGAATGAGTTTCCACAGATATGAATCACCCAGAAAACAGACTGTGTCACTGAGCAATTCCATCATGCTCTAAGCAGGCTGTATAAAAAGTAGAGTTTGAAACTGACCTCTTCCTCCTTAGGCTTTTTGTCCAGCTCCACCTTGACCAGCGTCCGGTTAAACTTCAGAGCGTGTGACAGAGCCAGCAGGCCACCAGTGCCAATCAGGTTTTCGCAAATATCAAGCTGCTGGATGTGACGACTTTCAGCGATGAATTCAGCCAGGACCACAACACCTGACAAAGATAAACCCAGACGGAATGAAAGATCATTTCTTTTGTTTGCTAATGTGTGAAAACACCGCAGACAGTGATAAACTGTTATACCTTCGCAGGTGATTCCCGTAGAGCTGAGGTCCAGCTGCAGCAGTGAGGGGCTGGAGATGAAGGCCTCCTTCAGGGTTTGAACGCCTTGGTTCTCAAGACTGTTGTTGCCCAAGTTCAATATTTCCAGTGTTTTTATCGAAGGCTGGAATGGAGCATGCCCAGTATGAGGCTACATGCAAATAGGATTTTCAGAGACTTTTTAAAAGAGAAAACCATTTTGCTAAAAAATCTGGGAAAGGAGTTGGGTGCGGGGGGGGGGGCTTTTCATTATGTTTCAGCGTTTAGCTAATTAATTCAACTGTAGAGAGGAAATACCACCATGCAGATGTGAATAATTTACTGATTTGGCCACTTTCCAGTCAACACCTTGGTATTTCATACTATTTTTGCCCCAAACAATGACTTTAATGAAGGAGGGGATGGGCTGGGTATCAACAAAAACCCCCAAACACCCCACAGCCCTTACAGGCCCTGATTGGAGCCTCCTAAACTATCATTCCCCAAACTCTTCACTTGGCACACGTGCGCCAAGGCAGAGAGCACAAGCACCAGCTTAATGCCACAGAGGGGTAAGGAGTTGAGTTGCCTTCTGTATTTCGAGTGCTTTGAAATTATTCATTTTTGTCACTACAACAAATGCGCTTTTGTTGCTTCTATGTTTGTGGTAATGCAAGCTGTAACAAGATAAATAGGATCAGGCAGCCCCCCCCCCCACCTTCTCTCTGCCAGTCTGCAAAATCGGTTGCCGGACACCCCATGAAATTTTATTTCTGGCATTGGGCCTGGACCGGGAAAGCCCAAAGTAATCAAAGGCTGATCCAGCTATTGGTGGAATCTTTTACCCTTTTAAAAATCTTTGATTGTGTCACATCCTGAAAACATAAATCATTAAAACAAAGTCATATGATTTCAGGGGGAAAAAAAGCTGTGGTCAATGGTGGAATTTGCCTATTCATAACGAATATAGTTTATTGTTGTGTTATTTTATTTAATGATGCCTGAGACTCCAGTGGAACAGTTTCTGGTTCATTGTTTCTTTTCTTTTTTTTTTAGACAACACAGAAAAAAGGTTAATAACAGCCCTTCCAGTGTCATATTCAACAGGACCAGCCTTTGGGCTAATTATGATCATTATAGTCACAAAGACATCCACGTATCCTTCTTAATGACAGTCCACAATAAGAAAAAACTCCATAACACATATGTATTATTTAATCAAAGTGATCCCATTCAGCCAGCTGGAGTGGTGAGAACAGGCTTTATTTTTACCCCAGACTAACCAACCTGTAAGCCAAGAGGGGAGAACAGCAGACCCTTAATTTGTATCCATTTAATTTCTCTTGCTGGAATGAAAGAGCATGTGCTTTACTCTGACAGTCAGCAGATCTGATTTTACAGGAGGTCCTAGATAGTTTGTCTTTTACTCTGTCAACGCTGAGGTCTGATACTGTGGAGTCTGACTCCAGAGGAGGAACACGGCTGTTCTCAGGCAGCTGTTCTAGCAGCCTTTGTGGAGTCTTCCACAGCTTCTCTCTCCCGTAAAGTGGTGTGAAGTCTTGGGGCAGCAGACTGTACTGAGTGTCAATCGTACTATGCACAGAATCCATAAATGTGTTTTAGTGCAGTGTTGCCTAATCCGATCCTTGGGGACCCACACACAGTCCGCATTTTTGAGAGCAAAAATGTAGACTGTCTGGCAGGTAGCTCAAAGGGAGCCAAAACGCAGACCGGCTGTAGGTCCCTGCGGACCAGGCTGGGTAACACTGGTTTAGTGTGAGTAACGCTTTGTCATTGCAGCCTTCTCTGGGTTTTTCTTACCAGAACGCCAGCCAGGTGGAACATGCCATGGTTTGTGAGATGGTTACCCCACAGCACGAGTTGTTGCAGTCTGCTTCTCTGAGCTTTTAGACCATCACAGATCTCCTCCAGACCTGCTGGGGAACACGAATCCCATTGCAAAGCCACCAATGCAGTAGACAGAGTTGTTAACTGTGAATTGATGTAACATTCACCTGAATCAGTTATCAGATTATTGCTGATGTCCAGACACTTGAGATTCTGGTTGAACTTCAGAAGGTCTCCCAGTTGCATTGAATCTTGGAAACTGTTCAGCTTGTTGTTAGCCAGATAAAGCTCTCGAAGGGTGGTATTCATCTTAAGAATTCCAACTGAGAATCAGACCAGAAATACATCAATGAAGTACTTTGAGAAGAAAAAAAAATAACTGTAACTATGATTGTAGATACAGAAGTATAGTTGTGGGCTCCATAGAGGGTCACACCATCCCTCTCTTACAGCTACTATCATACAACTTCTTTGAAAGAGTTAGAGACACATCTCAGATGTTTTTTTTTCTTCATTTTTTGATTCCTTTTGAAGAATCCCCTGAAATTACTGCCCTTTGTGATGAACTAGATGTAAGTAAATAGAACCACATGAGTGTGCATGTCAGTATCAAAGAGCTGACAGACATTTCAGGACTTGAGTGCACTGTTCCTAGACGTTCTCCAGTCATTCATAAGTGCTTCCTCTCTGTGTTTTGCTCTGTTCAGTCAACCAGCATCAGTTTGCAGTGTCAACATGTGAAGCTTCTTCAGCTACTTGATTGGATATGCGTTTTGGGTTTTCTTTGTATTCCGACCTTTCAAAATAATACAATACAGGTGTTTATGATTTTTATGATTGCTGTGGTTTTCTTGTAACACACACAGTGGCTCATCAAATATATTTGGTTGATGTTTGATGAAGTACTTTTATTTTTTATTTTTTTGTCTGTCCACGTTGTTGTAGTCCAGACTGATTCTGGTGAATCTAATGTGTGGACACCAGATCTGCATCGACAGCCTGCCGATCAATAGCTGTGACGTGCGGCCAACATCCACGAGCTTGGCCTTCGGCGAAGACATGTCAAGGATATGATAGGAGCAAGTTTCTATTCAGTTGTACCTGGGACTTTCTAAGTCTGCCAGGGCAAACATTTCCCTTTCTAACTCAAAGTCACAGCAAACATTTGGTCAACTTTTCTTCATCAGGAATTCCACGAATTCATCTGGAACTGAAGCATATGAGACTGGTTCTCTTTGGACTCTGTTAGTCAGGTGTAGACCACGCAAAGCAGACCACTCCATTTCCCAGCATTGCTTTTAGTTTCTCCTATTGTTCTGTAACATATAATATTCGTATATAAAAAGCGCATGAACTATATTTCAACTTCTCCATAGTTCAGAACCAAATAATTTCTCATTGCCTGTAACAGCAGCATTATCAGTGAAAGTGACTCCAATATCACAGCTAAATCGGGTTATGAAGTTACTGGCTGCAGTGGTACGTGCAGATCGGTGCAGCATTGTGTAAAGTGACAAGCAGAAGATTAGGACATCTAATCCTGGGTGATTCTTGCTGTGTGGGTCAAGGGCCAAAATCTGGCTCTCCTTCTCCTATCATCTGTTCCTGCTGGTCAGCCTGGCCGGCTCTGTCCCTGTGCTGGGCCCTCCCAGGGAGGCCTTGGACAGACACACACGTCAGCGACCACTACGTTTAGGTATGTATTGTTTCTGTGAAAGGAGCAATATGTAAATCACTCGTGAAACACTGTATTATGATCCTAATAACCTTTTCTTTGTTAAATAATAGAAATTCTACTCCACAATGAACTGAAATGCACAGTGAGAATAGGCTTTAAATGTTTGTCCTTTCTTGGCACGCTCCCCTGTGACCCTGGACCTGTCCCCAGGAGTGCAGGCCTACCTAGAGTGAAGAGGGGTGTTCCACTCAGACTGCTGTTGTCCAAGTGCAGAACTGACAACCTGCTGGTAAGGAGAGATCCTGACAGCAAGCGCGCGGGTCGCTCCAAGAGGGGCATGTCGCTGGCATCCAGCCTCTCCAGGGAGCGGCTCTGCGGGAGAAGCGTGAGCCGTAAATGATCCCAGGACCTGCTCACCTCTAACCCCAAGCCCCCTTCAGCTCTTCCTCCAAGGCTGCTCCACCCTTCCTTCTAGACTATGCGTTTCACACGTGAAGGGTTTCTTTCCCAGTGATATATGACATTTCATGTAGCCGATTACATGTGTGGTTTTTGCCATAGACCTTTCGGTAACACTTAACATTAACTGTGTCTTCGTAATGCATTAATGACGCTTTCAGTGCACCGTCATTTATAATGCACTTACAGAACATTCAGTGCAGCTTGATAACGCATTCATAAGCAACACGTAATTATACCTCAATATCTAACATACCTTAACAGCTGTAATACACATTAAGAGCAAACATGATATGATTATATGATTACGATATTTGTTATTATCATATCAGGTTTGTTATTAATGTATATTTAAGCTGTTAAGGTATTTTAAGATCTGCTTATGAATGTACTATAAATGCATTATGAAGGTGCACTGAATGTTCTACGAATGTAGTATAAAGGCATTATGAAGATGCACTTAATGTAACATAACCAAACTTTCTGCCTATTCACACAGTTCAATTTGAATTCTTAGAAAATGGATCCACTTCTGCAAACAGTGTACAGCAGGGTTAAAATGTTGATAACTGATAATCACAAAGGCTTTAATAATACACTGTTAATACAGGTCTTAGAAGGTGATTGTTATTGAACTGTACCTGCTGAATTAAGTGCGAAAGTGCTTGCCAACCTGAAATCCCAATATTTGCATTGAAAGATATGTCCAGATGTTTTGCTGATTCATAGTATAAAATCATGTCCAACAACGAAGCAGCACCCTAAAAAACATCACTGAGCGTCAGACAAGGCAGGTTAAGGCTAAAGACAGCTGTTCACAAAGCTCCACCATGACAGGCATAAATGTCCATAGAGCCAACAAAGCTGTTCTCTCAAAGCACTTACATTCTCCTCCAGCTCTGTCTCCCGTAGATTGATGAAATCAAACTGCAGTAATTTTAGAATATCTTCAAGAGTCTCACATGAATGGTTATCTAATCGTTCACCTGAAAAGCAATCAGAATTTGTATAATTATGATTTCCTCGCAGCCAAATTGCCCATCTCTGTTAGGAGCCGAAGCTTTCTGAAGGTGGAAAACAGAGTTAATAGTGGGGCCAGAACAGCCCCAAATGTTTGCACTGACTTTTCAGCTTTCGCTCCCTGCAGAGAAGAATAAAAGCGACTCAGACTTTCCCTACAAAGGAATGAGCTTGTCTAGCCCTAAATCTGATGGTGTTTCCAGGAACTAAAACTCAAAGCACGCAGCTTACTGTAGAAGCAGTTTAATGCCCAGTGCCATTGTCCTCACTGCACATGCAAAGTTCTGCTTCTTGCTGTCATGATTGGACCAGAGGATTTATTCCACAATGAAGCCCTCTGTACCGATTGTATAATTTGATAATCTGACCTGATGTATCTGCAACTCTACATTAATTGAGTGGAGACTGACGGATCCCCTGAAAGTAGTCACTGCCATGTAGGTGTAAATATCATTAGGAGCAGTAAATGGAGAACCACGGTGGTAAATACTAAAATTCTATCCCTTTTCACACAGGGATCGATCAGAAGACAGTAGCAATGTTACCTTGCAGATCTAACTGTGTGCACCTGCCTTGCAGTGTCGCCCCCTCCTGGAGAAAAAGTAAAAGAGACTCACCATGCTGATGCATGTAGCAGCAGGAACATAGTGCAGCAACAAACATACATATAGTTGCAAACAGACGAGGCACAAAGACATAGTGCAAACAAACAAACATGATGCAAATTTAAAAAGTAGTACACGGTACACAAATAAATGAAATATTCTGGAAAACAGAATGTGATGCTAAAAAAATATTTAAATATGATGATAATAATTTAGTGCAATGCTGTTGCTATTTGGAAGGCCTATATGGAATTTGCTGGATTTGATGAATAGTGAGATAATAATGACGTGTTAAGCAGCTAATTGGGTGCCTTAGGGGGTAACACTGTCAGCTCCCCCCTCCAGGGCTGGGTTTGAATCTTGCCCCCCCCCCCATGTGGGGAGTTTTCTCTGGTTTCTTCCTGCAGTCCAAATGCATGTAGCTAGCTGAAGTGAAGTCTCCCCCTGCCATGAAGCAGTATCCTGTCTGGGGGTGGGGGGGTTCCCTGCCTCGTGCTTTACCTGGTGTCAGATATGGGGGTCTTTAGTAACGGCGTATGGCGTAGTATGTAATGGGAATACAGGATTGACAATATTTCTATTGATTATATATTGTCTGTTTTTTTTTCACCTGGGCTCTGAATTGCGATGGAAGCTGGGAGAAATGCAGATTCTCATTTTTTGTTTAGGAATTTTTGTACCGTTTTGTCAAAATATTAGAGCATGTATGATGACATTAACCAAGCACGTGAAGCATAGTGATCCAAAGGCAGGTCCTCGTGCGTCACACCACAAAGGCAGGGAAACACCAGGCAGCGTTTGGACCTGAGATGCGACCATCGTGATGTAGAATTAATGAGCTGTCTGGTGCAGAGCAATGTCGCAGGAATGTGTAGAATTGGGGCTAAAAAATTATTCTTTCGTTTCATTTCATGGAGCTTGATAGCGAGAAGCCTTTAAAACGCTCACATTGCAATAATGGCGTCACGAGGAGAGTGACGTCCGCACGTATGACCGCTGCAGTCTGCAGCTTCTATGACTGCAGTGACACCATGACTGAATGGCAGGGAAAACCAGGGATGACCGTGGAAGATGTGGATTACGCTGGAATGATGAGATCCGGCAGCCGGCTCCCGTTCCTCAGCAGACTAACTAAGTCACAGGAACAAGACTAGGAGCATTTTACAGTTCATGAGTTAAAACACTAGAAATATAAGCAGTGAGTACTGTAAACGTTCCCAAGGGTTAAAATCAGCAGCATATTTCCTTTCAGCGTCTTTTCAGCAATAAAGGATAAATTATTTAAAATAACACGACCTTTTATCTCACGCCCTTTGAAGGCAGTAAATTAAAAATGTAAATTGGGGGACTAATTAATATGCAAATGTATTCATTCCCAGTTAACAATTAGCAATTAAACCTGCAGTGTCTAGAAAGAGCATAGACAAAATTAGTAACTTAATTTATCATTAAAAAAAAATGAAAACGTACACAAAATTTTAATTGACTTTCAAAATATTTTCACTTTTTCCTTTGTTCATCTACCTCGATTTGAAATTGAAGATAGTGCTTTCTAAGGTAAAACCATTAATTGGAGTCATAAAATGTGCCATAACCCTAAAAATTCATTGTATATGTTTACGTTTCTGTGGATGGTGCATTATGAACATCCACTACCGATTGCTGCGATACCAAGTCGAAGTTACAGTATAGGTTAGACATCCTTAGCAGGCACCATTTAAAGCAAAGGATTTTAGGCACCGTTCAGCTACTGGATGCTATATTTCAGTTTTCTGCCTTGAGTAAAAAGGAGACCCAGCTATCCGATTGTCTTAAACCAGAAATGATGTGGGCATGCTTTTTAATATTTACCCCGGAAAATGAAATAACCTTCTCTCTCCCATATTAAGCCACGTCCATTAGTCACATCCACTAATGCAGATCATGTCCAGCTGCTGTGAACACTGAGCCCATTAGGGATGCGGAATGAAAATATACGGTGTTCGGCGTCTGCCTTTTCATCACACGCGGTCTTTGTCTACTGCCTCCCTTCAGCTTGCTGATTTGGGTATCTACCTCAACATTCAGGGTTTCGGTGGGAAGGTCCGCTTAATGAAACCCATCTAAAATGCTTCACCAGCGCTGCGCATTGAGGCTATCAATGCGTCTGCATCACACCAAAAGAACTGCAGCCACTGTTTGCCCAACTCCGATATTGTTTTTGTGTCTTATGAAGATCTAACCAAAAGAAACGCTCTTTTATGTGGTTTAAACTGTTCAAAGGGAGCCGAAAGCCCCAGAGTACAGTAAATGTTTTAAACAGCCTTCTACGGTCATCCCCAGGCACTAATCTTCCTCAAAAACTTCATTTAATAAATATGCTTGTTAAGCCGTGATATTACATACTCTTATTATGAGCGCCGTTTTAAATATATCTCCTTTCAGCTATCATTAAACTGTACATCTGTTTCTGTGTTTGGAGAGACCACCTATACTACTCTGTATTTGAGCTGAATTATGCTGCATGCATTTAAATGCCCAGAAATAGACTGGCCTCCCATTCAGAGGGTCCCCAATTTTGGGTCTTTGTCTCCCTAACATTGGGACCCTATACTGGCTAAGCAGTTTGGATGGATGTGTGTAATGTCCACTGCTGTCAGCAATTCATTCACTTGATGTGTTCTGTGTTCTATGCAAAAATAAGCACGAGTAGTTAAAGCAAAATATAGTACAGATGTTCCTCAACTTACGATGGGGTTTTGTTCTGATGAACTCATCGTAAGTCGAAAAATATCGTGAGCCGAATATGAATATGATACGATAAAAAGTCTCAAAGTCTTGGCTAGAAATGTTTATAATGTGATATTTTACAATTTCTCAGCACCTCTGAAAATAGGCTTTGGAAAATTAAATGTTTAAAGTTGATTTTAACAAAAAATAGAATTATAACATTCTAAGTGGTCTCAGATTATTGGTACTGAGTTTGTGCTAAATAAAAGCATTTGTAGCACTTTGACATAGATGTTTTTTAGATAGGTGAAATATTTTAAAATGTCAAGGCATGTCAGACGACCCCGAAAGTGGCTGAGAGGCCGCAGACCCCAGAGGGTTAAGTAACTATACGATACATCGATAAACACTGTATGAGATGTTTGCGCTCACAATCGCCACAGAGACTAGAAGTGTGGCTGCGTAGAGGCTGCTGTTACCCGGCAACAGTGTGAAGAATTGTATGGCATATTGCTGGCCTGGGAACAGATCAGAAGTCAAAGTTTGGTCTGATGACTATTGAGTGTGAATCGCTACTGCACCATCGTAAAACCGAAATATCTTAAGTCGAACCATTGTAAAGCGAGGAGCATGTGTATATAAAATTAATAAAAAATGACTGTGGGACCTGCATAGTATTTGTTTACAGCTTTGTCATTTTAATTTTATTAACTCGTTAGAGTTTTGTGGGAATATCCTCGTCTGGAGAGCTGTGTTTTGATTGGAGGAGAGGCAGGAATCTGTTAGTGTCAGAGAAGCCGTATGAGGGACTGCCATAATCACTGTGCATACTGGCATTAGCTGGCAGGGTAACATGCATTGAATTGTAGTAATAGTACTATACCTGAAGCTGCTGCAGTACTTTCGATATGGGTTCCACACGGTATTTGACACAACTCTGCTTGTAAGCTGACATCACCTCCGTCAAGGTAATATTGTCAACTAAAATAAAAGAACAAAACAATCAGCGGTTCAGTATTTATCTGCTGTATCCAGAAAGGGATTAAAATATAAACAGGAATTTGAAGATGCATGTATTTCCTTGATTACCAGCTACAGTGAAAAAAAGCAATACCAATGAGTATGAAGGTTCCCTGCTATGTACAGATGTGTGGGGCATGACAGTCTACTAAGCTTATTGGGGCTGTTATTTTACACTTTGTGACAAAAAAAGTTAAGCACCCAGAAGTAATGGTCCGATTTGGATGTAATTTGTACATGGGCAGACCAGCGATGGGCATGTAGATGATTCGTTTTGCCAGGAACTGGCACATCTAGGCACCAGACACAGAGGATGACTCGTAGATGCATTAGACAGCATTACCAGCACTTGGCGGAGTTTGATAGGGGTCACATTGTGGGTTTGCATGAGGCCAGGGGGTCGTATCGTGCAATTGCCCAGCATGTGGGGCATGCAGATGTCACAGTTTTTGTTGGAACCAATGGCCACGTGAGGGCACCCACACATCTGGAAGGTTCCAGTCGCCCAAGACAGACCACACCAAAGGAGGGTCGCCGTATTGTGCGCCAAGCATTACAGAACCCCATGACATCTGCGTCTGCCATTCAGATACAGGTATTGGATTCTCTACAAAACCCATGTCATCCCGCACCGTGTCTTGATGCCTGGCATCAGCCGAACTCTGGGTTCACCGTCCCATGCGTAGGCTGCCGTTAGCGCCAGCGCAGAGTCGGCTGCATTTGGAGTGGTGCTGTAACCGGGAGGCATGGACTGACGACAAGTGGCGTCGTACTGTGTTCATCGATGAATCTCGGTTCTGCATTGGACTTGGGACCAGCAGTGAGCCCATACTGCCGACTCCGTTGTCCGTTTGATCTGATATTATAATCACTGTGATACAGTCACATGACCACATGCAGATTCATTCCATTTCCACCACTCCGTCTGGGTGCTTCATTTTTTTTTTGTCACTGAGTGTATATGGAATGTGTTCATGTAAGACTGAGAGAAGATGCACCACGATACAACTCAAGGAGAACCAGCAATGCAAAGAAAAGTCACTGGGCTGCTGGGTTGGTTGAAAACCAACCTTGAGATATTTAGACAAACAAACCATAAATAAAATTTTAACTTAAATTATTTTAACCATAGTTTCTGTTTTTATTTTTTTATTTTTTTTTAAATAACTGATTGACATAAGAGAAGAACAGGTATTCAGGTCAGGAGAGTGTTTAATAGAATTGATATTCCTAAGTGTCATGTTTATATTGAATTTAATGATGAAATTTTTGCCTAAAAAATACTGCTCCTGCAGGCAAATAATTACCATGGTAGACTAAACATTAATGGCAGGCAAGTGTGTTATACCTCACTGTAGGACATGACGCACACTGACGCAAAAAAATCATGAATATATCAAATTCTTCAGAATGCATCACAACTTGCTTTTAAACAACAATTCCTAACAACATTTAGCTGAAGTGGGTGAGGAAAATGTGTCTCTCTCAGCTTACCCAGCTTCGACGGTGTCCTGAGCTCTTCAATACCTGACACCATGTCTTCATCCGGAGGAAAAGACACATGTTTACAGCCTCTGCGTTTCTTTGGTGGGCGAGCTGGAGCCGACAGCGTGTCTGTTTGGCTGTCCTCATTGTCGGCCATCCTCAGAGCGAACACGTCGTGTTTCAAGCATGGGTCAGCTGAAATTCAATGTGTCATAATAAGTCACAAAATGGACTGCCGTGTCAGTTTATCTGTCTGTCTTTGCTTGATGAGGAAACGTCCACCTTCAAGTCCTTAAGACTTTAACATTCAATCATGACGGCAATGAAAACAAGCTGTAATGGAGTCTCTTACGGTGCTGGAATAGACCTGGCTCCTGTCCGGCACTGAGCTGCCTGAAATGGGATAATGCAACATTCATTATTTATCAATCCGTCTTCCTAGCATGCATGTGAAATTCAATATTTCCATATCAAATAGCTGTATAAAAGAAACAGAAGCTAAGAAGTCAAGAAGTTTGTTTGCACAACACGTCTCAAGTTAAAGGATCTCCTCATTCTACTTTGAGACTGCAGAGAGGAGAACTCTGAGAAGATTTGTATGAGCACCATGTGTTGGTTAATAACACAAAGACATGCATACAGTACACCCCTCAAAGTATTGTTAAATATCCCTACAAGTGCAGTGTTAGGGGCGGATGCCGTATGTGTAATATACTGATTACACAATGCTCTTCATATCTAGCTATGTAATTGAATAAATATATCAGGCCTTTTTTGGTTTTTGATGTATTACGACAGCTTTTAGCAGACATAGGCCTACATGTGGCAGATAAGAAGCTGGTGCCTGTTCTCTTATACAGGACATACCTGCGGCATTTCTGCAGAATGGGGACTGCTTTTAAGCGGGTGATGCATTCATGCATTAATGCAATCACATCAATTCTGTGAACTTTTACCACAAAAAGAATTGTGGGCCCCCCAACTCAGACCAATCCAATTTTCTTCCAAATTTTTCAGGGCCGCTGTCACTCAGGGGCCCCTGGAATCTTCCTCACTTTCCCCCCTGCACAGTGCCCCTGGCTGGCTGTCTCTGTTCATTCCTCCGTTAGGGCCTCCCATGCTGGCCATTGGGTCAGCTTGTGATGTCACTGCATCTGCGGCGCAAGTCGAGGTTCAAGGCCTTTCAGCTCATGCATGGTTGATGTTCACCACAGATTCATCACACAGGGGAGACAAGGAGACGTATATATTTCATATTTGTTTCAAGCGGCATGAGTACAGCTATCTGTAGCTTGAATGGTAAGAATCTGTTTTAATTTTGTAGTATATCTGAGCCTCAGAAAATCAGGAATGTGGTGCTGGCATAGGTACTGAAGCACCGGTCTGTTAGTTGGATCTAAGTTGAGGTGATTCAACAAAACAAAAGCAGCAAGCTAAGAACTGATAACATATCTTAAATCTATTATTACCACCTTGTAATACCAATTCATTCTTGAGACACAAAAACCTGTTGATTTTTTTTGGGGGGGTTAGAGTTTCCTTTGGTACATTGTTTTCTTCCTGCATGCCAATTTGGGTCGTCTCTAAATCGTCTTTGTGAGTGTGTGTCCTCGGATGGAGGTAGACATTGGGGGTGGGCTATTGGTTCCCTGTTAACTTGCACTGTTCTTGTTTCGACAAGGTATGCATTTTCCTTTAGAAGTGCTATATTGTTGATAACTCATATATCCATCAAATTAACCATCCATCCACAGGGTTGCCAACTCTCACGCATCTGACGTGACACTCGCGCTTTCGTACTGTCAAGCTCGCTCAACAAATCCATATTATTCCATTATATACCTTAAATTAGCTACATCAAAAGTGTTGGGGTAGTTTGCAAACCCTACAGACTATTTACAAGGTAATAATTGTTAAACACATGTAAACGTATATGCAGACTTGTCTGGAATTGAAAATCTCCCGCCAGCCAGTTGACCAACGTTGACAACCAGTACAAGGTCATGGTGAATGTGTCTCCCTGAAGAAGCTCAGGGTACAAAGCAAGTGGACTCCTGTACAGAATTCTGCAATATATGTTCTGAAAAGTGAAAGAAGTAGGTCTAATAAAATATGAGTTCCATGAGAGATCGGTGCACCTGACGAGGCTTTGCCCTAGTACTGCGGGAATTTTGGAGTATGCGACTGGGGTACTAATAAATCATAAACTTGATAGTTTTCACATAGTGTCATTTTCGTGCTATATCTCAATGAAAATGAAGGGTGAAATTCGCAAACATTATTATTTAAATCATGCTATTGGCATTAAGAGTAGGAAAGTTACGTTTTGTTTTTTTTTTTAGCTGTATATACATTTTTTTAATTCAACCTGTGGATTTCACTGCTTTTTTAATGTGGAGGGTGAGTGTATAAGAATGATGACGTAACTGGATTATGTACAGCGAAGTGCTGCTTCCTTCAGTATGATTATTTTGAAACAGGAGCCCCTACACACTCATAGCCAGGGACCGAAGTCAGGGGAAGAACACTGTCCATTAATGGCTCTGCAATAGCTTGGGGTGAGACCTTGTCACCTTGATTTGGGTGGTGGTTACTTAGGGTTCTTTGGTTCTACATCATGTCAGCATGTTTAGGCATTTAGTTTTTTGTTCCTCCTCTTTTTTGTAGCATCTGAAACCGCTTAGTGACATCTGATAGGCTAATGTAGTGCATTTCCTGTTCTATCAAGCTGGTTAAGGGATTGGGGTAGAAAACACCTCGTAAAAGTACATTTCAATATATGGACAACGTTTTTTTGTGGTTGACAGACATTTACTAGCTGTCAGTCATGGCCTTGAACAGTAACAATTGCTTGGGCATGTGTCTTCTGTTAACTCTGTACCCTACTGGCAGGGCTCATCATAGTTGCTATTTATTCCTTCCTACCGTATCACAAATTAGCTGACATGGTAACCATGATTTGGTAACCAATCGGCGAGTGGTTCTACCGCAGAGAACGTCGCACTGGGCGCTGTCCTCAGTGTCGTTTGCATATGGACAGTGGCACCAGGGAGCTGGCCTTGGTGACCCCAGGGGTACCTGCCCACTGCAGTTAGAGTATGTAATTATCCAGCCAATCTGTTCCACTCAGCAGGGGCTGGACTGCAATCATGAGGCAGCAATCGGCAGATTGGAAGGATGAGGAGAGGTAGCCATGACAGTTCAACTTTTGAGGAGGGGGGTGGTTCGTATGTTATATGGCAAGGACAAGAAATAGAGATGTGATTGCTGATACTAAGTAGATATTTTTTGTCACTATGTTGACTTGATGAATTTTTCTAATCTGTCCTTTTCTCTACTGGAGGATGTACTTAAGGTTTATGGATTGGTTAATGGTACGTCGCGAGATTCTGGTTTTTATTTGAGGCACTGGCTTGAAGTAGAGGATTTTGGGTGGAGAAGGGTTTCTTCAGAATTTGTGTCTCGGCAGGCGTTGTTTCTGCCTCAGAGCGCCGAATTTGAAGTACTTGGTTCTCTTGAGTTTTCGTTGGGTTTTGATGAGTGCTTTGGTTCTGTAATTCATAGACGGTACTTCACGTGAATGCTACCTTTTGTTTGTATCAGTGTGCACAATTGTCCTATCTAAGGTGTGCCATGCCGTAAGCTTCTTGGGGTCCTCGTTCGATACGCACGTACTGAGCCGGTTTCCGTGGGCCTTGGCAGCAAAGAATACTGTGTCCTTCACAGAGAACCTGTCTAAGTGAGATAGCAGTAAATATCTTGAAATAAAAATGAAGAGTGAACTGGTAAACCGTCTGATAAATAAACCTTCTGAAAAGGATAACTTTGCTGAAATTTAGCTGTGTCTCAAATGTTCAACGTTGACAGCTTTGGTTCCTGATAGTAAGCGAAGTCCTTTTTGTTTCACTTTAATTTAACCCAATTAAGTGATTATGGTCTTTTAATGTAGGTGGGATTGTGCAGCACATTCTCCATTTCTGCTCTGAAAATTATTCAGTTATACATACTTACAGCTTATGATGCAATGTGTTCCTAATGATCCATCTGGACAGAAGATTTTCCACGAGGATTTAATTTTACAGCTTGAGGTTGCAGTACTAATTGTTTTCTTTTTTCTCTCAGAAATACCCCTGACTAGTGGGGCTGAGTGATGTGCAGTATTAATATTGATATCATGTTTGCACATACAGTTGTCATATTGCAAGGACCAAAGACCGTGAGAGTTAGCTGGGTTGAGATTAGCCTTAGGCAGCATGTAATGTTTCATACCATGAAATTTATGGTATTTATCAAAGTAATGTTATTTTGAAGTACAGTGTACTGTAGGTATTTTCGAAATTTTGTTGATAAAATTCGCGGGGGCTTCTCATAAGATTTGTTGAATGGAGACCTTTAATAAATTCTGCTATTATTTTAAAGATTTTAGATTCTATATAAAAAATATAGACCAAAAGCAAATGATGTGGCAATTCCACTGACCTATTCCATGAACTCTATTGGTAGATAAAAGCAAGTTATGCTTATACATTTCACATACACACACACACACGCACACACACACACACATATATATATATATAAGTATTGCTGAATAATTTAATTTATGAGACTATTCATACTGTGAAACATGCTACCCTGTCCAGACCAGGTAGTAGTAGGGTTAGGCCGTCATTTGTCCAGATGTTGTGCTGCAGTGTGACCCAAATGCAGTTTTGAAGGTTTTCTAAAAACCTGTATGTTTGTTCACTATAGTGTCCGGCTTTTCAAGGTGTGTCTTGTCGTACATGGTGTTCTTCCTTGGCTTTCTCTGAATGGCCCCAGCTTGATAGTTATTGATAAATATTAGTTCTCTTCTAATGAATAACGTGCTCCTCTTGGCAGAGGACAGCTCTAATGCGTACGGCACTTGTGCTCTCGTTGTGGCTAATAGCTATGTTCGGCTGAGAAGCAGCCGGCGATGGGTCTGCGTGGGGCTGAGAACCTTGGGCAGGCGTGGTCTGTGTCGCTCTTCGTTCGGCGTGTCTCTGTCTCTGGGAGAGGCAAGTCCCTCTGTGAAAGTAACAAACAGGCCTACACTCAGCCTTCACTAGACCTTCGCTGCCATGGGATCACACATGCGGCCCAGTATCTCTGTAATGTTGCTCAGACTGCCATAGTTCCACTTCTGCACACATCTGCTGGGACCATCATACTCACACCAGAATGGCAACAGCTGCAAACTCACGAGTGAAGATTTTTAATTTTAAATATTAATAATAAATAAATAAATAAATAAATAATAATAATAATAATAATCCTTTTCTAGTTTTTTTTTTTTTTGTTTGCTACTGTAGTTTGTTCCAAATATCTGTTGTTCTGATTCTGTCTCAAGATGTATTACACCTGATGCGTGT